TTTAAATAATTTTTTTTTTCAAAAAAAAGTAATTTTTTGTCAAATTTATAGTTTCTCAAAAATCTTATTTTTTCGAAGTAATTTTTTTTTCAAAAATGTTAATTGTTTTCAAAAAAAATAATAATTTTTGGTACGGGAAGTTCCAGCAATTTGCATTAAGGCACGATGCCCTAATTGCCTTAAAACAGAATTCCACTTACAGCTAGTTTTAGAACATACAAGCACTAATGTCTGTGCACTATAAAATATGATTACAGATATTATAAATATGTCTGAAAGATATCAATTCGAAAAAGGAATGCTTAGATTCAATCGATAGCGATAACTTTATTTTTCAAATAAATAGTTAAAAATTTCATAAATATCTAAATCTCAAATTCGGTTGATAAAGTCAATTATTACACATTTTGGGAAGTTAATGCAACTTGCCTCAAGGCTAAATGCCACATTCAACTAGTTTTAGGTTTGTGTCAGAAATTTTTAATTCCAAACTTCGAAGTTTGCTGCTTATGTACAACATGCAAAATGTTATGCAAAATTTCTTATTCGTGCCGGTATAATAAAGAGCGTTTTATAGATTTTTTGTTAAATGCAAAAAATAATAGTTAAATACGATTTTTTAAAGTTTTTGCTGAAATTGGAAAACACAAAGTGGGTGTGAGCAATACCGGCCTTATCTTCATAAACTATTAATAATTTTATAAGTATGGAGACTGGATACGGTTGTGCCAGGATACGGTAGTGACAGTCGTAATTACAGCTACTATACTTTTGAGTTATGATCCAAAGACAGAAAGATGCATTTATTTTATAGAGTTGAATGTAATTCGAAAATTTCATGTTCGAATTCTTTTATTAATAGCTGTTAATTGTATACAGATAGTTTGTTATTTTTCTGTAAGTTGAACATTAGCAGTTATTTACCTACCAACAATCAGTTTTTGCTATATAATATATAGCAATAATTAAATATGTAATATAGCAATAAAAAATATATAATAATTTAGCTCAGTCATAGTTATGATTTGTTTTCAAAAGTGTGCGTTGGTTACGGTTGTGGGAAATTTTGCGAGTAATGCACAATTGTGACATATATTTCTTGGGTAAAATTAAAATTCTTGGTCATTTTTGGGTAAAATTAAACATAACTAGTGGGGCGCATGGCATCGTGCCTTAAGGCAAATTGCTGCAACTTCCCGTACCAAAAATTATTTTTTTTTAAAAAGATTAACATTTTTTAAAAAAAATTACTCTGAGAAAATTAGATTTTTGAGAAACTATAAATTTTTGACAAAAATTTCCTTTTTTTTTTGAAAAAACCTTTTTGAAGAAAAGTGTATTTTGAAATATTTTGGAAGTTCTGAACTTTTTTTTTCAAAGCAATCGTACTGCTTTAACTGCATATAGACGAAATATCGAAGCGCGTAAGCGACGCGCCGACGTCTAACAGAAAAACATTGGTACGGAACCCATAGGAATGTACACAAAATTTATACTTATTGTTAAAATCTCTATAAAATATTTGATAATTTGATGTGCATATGTCTAATGATCATTTTTGACCGCCAAATGGCATTTTTTTTTACTTTTTTTACTAGATCTCCGAAACCGCTAGACCTGCCTTCATGAAAATTTGATCAGTTCTTTATTTTGTTGATACAAGTAAAATGTTTTATGAATTATTCAAATCGGACGCTCCGTTCCCTTAAAAATTGAGTTACCGTTTTTGGCACTTTTAGTCCCATATCTTCGGAACGGCTTGACCTGTCTTCGCCAAAAACTAATCAGCACGTTATTATTACAAATCGAATGTTTTTTAAATTATTCAAATCGCTTCATCCGTGTTCCCGAAATCGTCGACGAAAATTTGTATCCGCACACACACACACACAAGCACATACACACACACATACGAACACACACACACGCACATACATCAATTTTTTCTAAGGTATGCCAAAATGTTCAATATAAAAATTTTCATTTTTGATTTTTTTGCGATTACTATAACTTGCCCTACGGGAAGTTAAAAAAATCTAATTTATATGGGTACATCGAAGATAAAATACGAAAGAGAAAAAACAGAAAAATTTAATACAAAAAAGAAAAAAGATTTTCCAAAGAATTGAAAAACATTGTTAACTTTGTGTAAAAATTATGTTTTGTTATTATTTATTTATTTTATTCATAAGCTTTGTTAACTTCCCGTAGGGTAAGTTATAGTAATGGGCCAAAAATCGAAAATGAAAATTTTTGCATATCTTCACGTTTTAGAGGTTTCTAAACATTTTGGCATACCTCAGAAAAAATGAATGTGTGTGTGCGTGCGCGCGCACGTGTGTGTGTGGAGATACAGAGCAAAATGTAAAAAAAATGGCAGTTTTTGAAAGAACTAAGCATACGAATTGAATGATTCAAAAAACTTTCTGCTTGTGTTGACAAAACAATTGCTTTTGGATTTTTTTTTAAATTTCAATTTTTTTTCAGAATATTTTTTTTGTATATCGAAAAAAATTCAGATTTTAATTTTAATTTTGGCTAAAGTTCTTAAAGCTCACTTATTTATGCTTATTTATCTATGACTTCTATACTCTAAATAAATAATTTTAACTTTGTAACTCAGTTTATATAATTCTTATAAATATTAGACAATGTATTATAGTAGTATTAATAATCTTTTTGAAAACGTTTAATATTCCTGGAACATTTCGTTACGCTGCGGGAAGTTCCAGCAACTTGCCAAGGCACGATGCCATATACTACTAAATGTTTATGTTGTGGTGTGTTACATATTATTGCTATTGACGACAATAAAAGTCGTTATAAATCAATTTGGTGTTCATAGCTATTGTTTTTAACCTGTTTTTAGGTAAGTTTGAGGGACGGTTGTGACACTCGCCCTTTTCTTGTATGATTTGGTTCTATGGCTAATCCATCGTATTTAAGGACATGATTTCAGAATTTGCACATAAATGTTTAAAATACTATTTAATTTACATTTCTCTTAGATAATTGGTAAATTAACAAAATTATTCTGATCAAATAGAAAAGTGTAACCCAGCCTCCTGTTCATTTGTTACACTTTGATGTTATTCTTTTACTTTAGGCTTTATTAAAATAAAATATGTTCGACTTGGTAACTAATAACTAAATAAAAGTTGCTCCCAGGCTGAGATCGATTTAGTTTTTTAGTACCTAGTAGGTACAACTACGACTAAGGCAAGCAGTTTTTCTTCTTTTTCCACTTTGCTTTGATTGTCAATATCCACTTTCGACTTATAGATTATGATGTAATCTGATTGTAGAAACTAGCAGTGACTAAAAGGAACATTTTATAGATTATGAGTTTTGAATATTGTTTTTTGCGAGCGCTGATTTTAATGTGAGTAATAGATTTGCGTACTACAAAATTACTACGCTTTGACTAATATATCAAATATCATAAACAATAAACAAAAGGTATAATACGCACAATTATTATTAAAATAAATTTCAATGCGCTGTAAAATTTATAATCTGACCATAATTTATACAATTATTTATATCAGTTTTAATATAATCTAATCTATTAAAAACGTAAGATAAAATGAATAATTTTATGCATGCTGTTATGAAACATCAATAGTATGTTTAAGTAATTGACTTAATCAACTAAAATTTAGATTTAGATATTTCGATAAAAATTTCATCTATTTATTTTAAAAATACAGTTATCGCTATCAATTAAATCTAAACATTACAATTTTCAATTGAATTTTCTCAAACACATTTAAATTATCTTTAATTATGTTAATTATAATGCACAGACACGTGCTTGTATGCTCTAAAATTGTGGCTTATCATTATAAATTTTAATAAATTTTGAAGTTTGACCCATCACATCACAAAAGCAACTTTTGACATAAATTTTGACTATAATATATTTTCAATCTTTGATGAATTTTTAAAATTAAACTACTTGCCATACGTGCGTAAAATTTTAGTATGTTGTTCAGGACCATGATATCCATCAGCATAAAAAGTTTCATCAAAAAAATTTTGTTCAACTGTTAATTACGAAAAAACGGCTCGGCGGATCTTTGTCCAAAACTAATCAGGACGAATCCCAAAAAATATCTTTCAAAGGGACCCTAAAATAGTTTTTAAATTTTTAAAATTGATTCAGTATTTTTGGCTAAAACGTGGATGAAAATTTTTTTACTTTTCTGCTAATTACAAAAAACGACTTTGGCGATCTTATCAAAAATCTAACCGATGCGAGTGCTTATCAAGTTTCATCGAATGACTTTTAAATTTTTGAAATCCGTTTAGGCGTTTCAGAGAAATCGTCGATTAAAGGTCTAATTGTGAAAAATGCCAAGAAAACGCGACTATTTTTTTCAAACTTTGATGAATTTTCAAAGTTAAAGGACTTGTCTTGTTAATTACAAGAACTTGTGCCAGTGAATCTTTACCAAAAACTAATCAGGTCGATTCCCAACCAATATTTCAATTTCAAACGGTTTTCGAATTTTTAAAATCGATTGAGAATTGCGGGCTAAACCGTCGACGAATTTTTTTCCGCTTTTCTACAATTTACAAAGAAACGGCACGGCCGATCGTTGCTCAAAGCTGGTAAACGCTAGTCCCCATCGAGATGCATCGAATGGCTTTTAAATTTTTGAAATCGGTCCAGCCGTTTTTAAGAAAACGTTGATTTACGGTGAAAAATTTGTTCACACACACACACAAACATACTTTTTCCAAATTTGGTCTCATTCGATTCAGAATGGCTTGAAACGTCGAGAAAACATAAAATTAGCAATTCGAATTTTCTGATGAAAACATAAACTTCTCTTTCGGGAAGTTAATAAACATTATTTCACCAGGAATTGCCTTTTATAAAATAAGTTCTCCAATATTTAATTACAACTTTCAAATTTTGAATAGTTGTTTTGTGTCGCTGCGGTTGGTATCACCCATTCAGGTTGTATATTTTGACTGAACTGACTTTTGCAAATGGTGCAAGTGATTTATGTATAAGTGTAGAAATTTGATTTGTTAATAAATGTTCATTACAAATTGTTTGGCAGTTAGTTTAAAGTAATTGAAATTAGTTTTTACGTAATATGAGATCGAGCAAATGGCTACACAAGCACATGAGGCTAATAGCCCACATCAAAATTTTGTAGAAGAAATAAATTACAATGAGATTGAAAGACTGAAGGTAGAATTGGGAATGAAATGATAACAAAAACAACATTTGCTCATATTCTTAAAACCTATTTATTTATAATTAACTTCATATGTCATACATTCATCAAAATAATTTGTTATTTATACATTTGAGGTTATACAATCTAGAATTAATGATAAATCACTGTATTCAACAATGTATCTGTATCCACAAAATTGATTTTTTTTTATTACACAGATTGTAGGCAAAGGATCCTTTGGTGTTGTTTGGAAAGCAAAATGGAAAGGAATATATGTAGCTGTCAAGGATATAGAATCAGAAGCAGAAAGGAAAGCCTTTTCTGTTGAGGTTGTTTACAGTCGCACAATTATTATTTATTAAAATGATTATAAATTAATCATTCAATTTTACATTAGAAGATATCCCAATATTTATTTCCTACTAAATAGAAAGTGTTATCCCAAAATGAACAGTATGTATTGAGTTATTTGTAAATATTTATTTTAGGTAAGGCAATTGTCCAGAGTTTCACATCCAAATATTGTTAGATTATACGGGGCATGTTCACACGGACCTGCAGTATGTCTTGTAATGGAATATGCTGAAGGTGGTTCTTTATACAATGTATTACATTGCAACCCTAAACCCAAATACTCTGCGGCTCATGCTATGAGCTGGGCATTACAATGCGCTAAGGTAAAATCCATAAACTGTGATATTAATTGGCAATTCAATATTTCGATTACATTGTACGTAATTTTTTACAGGGTGTTGCATATTTACATGCAATGCAGCCAAAACCTTTAATACATAGAGATTTAAAACCTCCAAATTTATTATTAATTTCTGGAGGTAAAAAATTAAAAATATGTGATTTTGGTACAGCAGCTGATAAGTCTACTTACATGACAAACAATAAAGGCAGTGCTGCTTGGATGGCCCCTGAGGTAATTATTATATCAAAATACTATTATGTATTTAATTCCAAAGTTTCGATGAAAGAAAAAATTCAAATTGATCAATTGCGATTAAAAAAGAAGTAATATTAGTTAAAAACTAAAAAAAATCTAGTATTGCTTGTAAAATTATCATACTTCTAGGTTTTTGAAGGATCTTCATATACAGAAAAATGTGATGTTTTTAGCTGGGGTATAATTCTTTGGGAAGTAATATCTCGAAGAAAACCATTTGACAAAATTGGTGGTAATGCATTCAGTATAATGTGGGCTGTACATAAAGGTATTGTAATTAAAAATCTAGATTATACAGCAAGAAATATTTGATAATGACTTTTTTAGGTCAGAGACCGCCTTTGATAGAAAATTGTCCTGCACCTATAACAACATTGATGTGTGAATGCTGGCACCAGCAGCCATTACAACGACCATCTATGGCCGATGTGGTTGATAGGATGACAAAATTATCAGAATTTTTTCCTGGTGCAGATAAAGACCTTGAATATGATTCTGATGATTGTTCTACTGGTAACTCATTCATAAATATTCCTAATATTGATTTACATCATATATAGTGTGTGTTTGCTATAATAAATTTATAAATGCATACAATGATTAACATTTAGTAATCGTTGTATTTTATCATATATTTTCTTGAATAGTTTTTAATTATTAATTCTCATAAATATGTTCTATATGTTTGTTTTTTTATATTGATTCATATTATGTTTACAGATGCTTATGAACCAGATTTTTCAAGCAGTTATGAAGATCAAACGCAGGAATTAGAAACAAATCATAACAGTTCAATGTACAGTACAATCAATAGTAATATTAAAAACAATGATAGTGACATGAGTGAATCTAATCCAAATCAGTCATTTTGGGAACGTAACAATGTAAATGACAATGAAAGAAATATATGGGGCCATAGTGTTCATTTTGTAAAAGGAGACAATAGTGAGCATAGTGCTTCTAGATCGGCAAATGGGGTAATAAATCAATTGGAATATTCTCAAATGGAGCCACTACAATTAGATATTGATCCGGTTTGTATAAATTAGATATTAATAAAGTGAAATTATATTTATAAAAAAATTGATAATTCATTTATTTAGTAATTTAAACTAACCTTGTCTAATTCTTATATTTTTCCGTATGAATCTTTATCTCAAATTTTTCTTATATTTCTGTTTACATGGTTATATTATGTCATTTTGTAATAAATTTTGTAATTTTTATCTTTCATTTTACTATTTTCAGAACACCTGGAATTTAGATACTGAAATTGAAAATATGGAATTAAGAAAAATGGCTGGTTTTGATAAATATATGTCCATTGGTGAGTTTCTTCAATTTTTTTAAATATTTTACATATAGGGAAATACGGACAAAATGGTATGAAACAAAATGACACAGTGGCTTAATTTAAAAAGTTTTTTATGTTTCCGTGACTATACAACATGAAGAAAGCCATAATAACAATCCTATCAGATGTTGGGCGTCTTAGTCATGGCCTTGTCTCAGTAATCAGTTCAAACGTCAAACGTTTTGCGTCTTGAAAAGTTTATGTTGTGGGTGTTTTTCTCATACTGTTTTGGGATCTATTTATTGAGATTTATGATAATTTCAATTAAAACCAATTAACTTATGCGAGTTTCGATTTTTTTTTTTTCAGTAATCAGGTGTTTCATGGAATTTTGATTAATTCTTTATTTAGTTTATTTCTGTTTACTTTTGGACAAAATTACACTACATACTTATACAATGAATTTTACTAGCAATTTCACTAGCATTATGGGGCGAGGAAAAAAAATTAAAAACTGTCAAAAGCAATTGCCTTTTAACTTCTACCCCAAGCATGCCAGAAATAAGTACTAAAAACAGATCAAATGATCCCTCTATAAGCAGAAGAGACTTGCATTTATTGCAAAATCCCTCATTTTCCATTCTGAGCCAGTCGAAGATAGGTTATGATCTGTACCCTTTGCGTTTATGCTTCACAAGCTGATGTCCTAAAGAGGATAAAATGATTTATTTTTGAACTGCATTTTTGAAAATTAACATCTCAGTATGTCATAAACTATATATGCATATAGTATGGACAAAATGATTTTTGTTATAGGTTGCATTTTTTCTTAATAAATATGTCATTATAATTCTTTCTTAATTAAAATGCTATCTTACTGGTAGTTAATGAACAAAGATGAGTAAAGCCGATGAGACTGATTATAATATAATTAAATAAATAGATATAAAAAAATAAAATAAAACACAATGTCATTATGTCCGTACTTCCCCTAAATTTAACAATTGTATTGAAAATACAATAAAAGTTATTTTTCTAACATTATGTGTTTAGCTGATCGGGCAAATAAAAGATGTCAAAATCTGCTTTGAGTAGAATTCTGTTGTAATATTATTCCAATTCAACTAACGCGCAATTTACAATGAACGGCGGTTTTATATTACGTCAGTTATGCATTTATGTAGACGTTAGTACTATAAAGATAATGAGTCATAAATAACAATTATATAAATACGCATATCGTAATTATCAATTTTTCAAAGGACAAAGGTTGTTTTCTCGACGTTTCAAGTCATTCTTAATCATTTGATTTTAAATTGGTAAAAGTAGGCGTGCGAGTGTGTTTGTGTATGTACGTATATATGTTTTTGTGTTTGTTGTATAGTGAGCCAAAAAATTGATTTTTGTTGTCGATTTTTGAAAAACAACTGTGCCGATTTTAAAACTTTAGATGCCATTTGTCGAAACTTTATGAAATCCTGCGGTGATTAGTTTTTGGCGACAATCGCCGAGCTATTTTCTTGCAATTAGAAGATAAATGCAAATTTTTTTGTTCATGTTTTAGCAAAAAAATCCCGAACCGGTTTTATCTAATCAAAAACTTTTCAAAAATATTAGCTGAGAATCGCTCTAGTTAGTTTTTGGTAAAGATCGGTCGTGCTGTTTGTTATGAACCTTACCGAAAAAAAGTTTTAATGAAACTTTTTATTAAGATATGGTTCATGGTCTTTAAGAACATTCTAAAATATTATGGGTTTACAAAAAGTGATCTAATTATAAAAATTCATCGAAGTTTGGAATAATGTGCCGTTTGAGTGAAAAATGTCAGTTTTTACTGATCATGTCGATTTCATACAAATCGCAAAGTTTTCACAAAATATTACTTACACTTGAGTTTAATCCCTTAACTTG